TGTTTCAAGACGGCCCGTTTAAGGTCCTACGTGAAATCGTTTCGCCGCTAGGGTGCCAAGCTTGGGACATCCGTAGTAACTTCCAGGCAAAGTAGCTCGACACGTGAAGCGCATCGCATGATGCAAAGCGGCGGCTCATCGAAAGTGCACGAAGTTCAGAGCTTCAAAGGGGCAAATTGCATAGTGTGCTGACACGGATGACAATGATCAGCAAACAGTTATGCAAAAGGACGACATATAACCATCACAAATGCGAAAAGTAACATGAAGTAGCGTTGAAGTTTCGGTAGTATTACATAGAGAGAGAGAGAGAGAGAGCGAGAAGAAATTCCTTTGATCGCCAACGTCGATCATGTAGATGGGGCTCTAACAGGCTGGAACACGCATTGTCGCGGAATCCGCAGGCCAAAGGCCGGGCATAGTATTTCTCTGATTATGTGTTTTTGGCGTTTGTATGATATAGGCATTTATATTGTTGAGGATAGGCTGAATAATTCAATTTTGTAAGGTGATTGAATACATGAAATTAATATGAAAATAGTCATAGTAATAAAGATAGTAAGATCAAATTAAATTATTATGTACTTACTTGTTATAATATACTATGTGTTCAAACTTTATATTAAGAACCTGTTAAAAAAAAAAAAAAAAAAAAAAAAAAAAATGCGGCACATTGTTTGTGTGTAGTAAAGCCGTGTAGTGGCATTTTGGCCGAATTGCCGCGCTTGTAGCAAGCGGCTATGCTTGTCTCGGTGTTTTGTTGTTGTTGTTCTTGTTTTTGTTTAATGACATGCTCGGAAATCTCAAAAATTCCGGACGGTGTTTGATATTTTTCTTAGAGCTATTGCACGTAACCCGGCCGAACTGTCCCCGAAGTTTGGGGGGTTTCCGTTACCCCGGCTCTTAGATTTCCGTTACAGGCGTATGCTTCTTCAAAGTTTGGTGGCTTGCCGCGAAAGTTTTTGGGTTAAATGTCGCAGAAATATGGGGATTTGTCCGAGTCAAAATATTTGGAACATTTGTTGCGAGGCATGTGGTGCTTGTAGTTAGCTAATTTGACGGGCAGCTAGCTAATGAGATTGTTTAATGCCAGTTTTACGTCTTATGTTTGGAGTTTGTAGGTCTGTTTAAGCTATGGCTCTCCTTTTGAGAATGGTTAGCTTTGTTGGTCTATTGCAGCTACGAACTCCCTGGCTTGTCACGCTTTGCGACGTACGGGCGCCCGGGAGGTCTATGTGCACGAGGCTCCCTTTTCCTTAAGCTAGAAATGTTTCATTTTCTCTTATTATACCCCGCCTGTTCTTTTTATAGTCGTGATCCCGTGTCTATAAGACCGTCAGCTTTGTCGGACGGGCTTGACCACCCGTGCCAGGCACCAGCCGTTGGCTCAGCTTCCTTTGCCATGCCGCCGCGCAACGGCCAGCGCGCAATTGCTGCCTGCAGCTATAGGGCCCGGGCTGCCCCGCCGGCGCCACGACAAGCTGCCTACCACACCGGTTGCAGCAACGCTTGCAGCTCTTGGAGCGCGACCGCTGCGACATTCATGTCGACTATGAAGCTGGTCTCTGCAGCGGCACCCGTGTTCTTGTCGCGGCGGTCTCTGAACTAGTGCTCGATGTCATTGCGCTGGAGATAGCAATTCGGCCCTTAGCGAGAGTCGTGCTGGCTGGACCTTGGGGTTAACTTATAGTTCTACGGTATTCCTTAGATTAAATTCAACAACCAAAAGGGGCGCTTTCCGTGGTGCTAAGTATCGCATCTCTCCCTCCAAAAGTCCACACATTGGGGGTGTCCATGGTGTTCCGTTCCGTGCAGCGTCTGCGAGTTAACCGAGTCCGCTTGAGTGTGTCTTTTTGAACTGAGGGTCTTCGTCACGTTTTCTCTTGTGTCCGCCTCGCCGGCACCTCGAATCAGTGACTCTTCACTTCAGTTGCATATTTTGGGATTTTGTTGCAGAGCGGCATTTGTTTCCGAAGCTTCCTCCGTCTTCTTGCAAGCTGAGCCTTGGCACCCATGCCCGACTGTGCAACATAACCCCCTAAATTATCTTACACAAATATGGTTCGCTTCTGCGTGCCGCATCTCCCCCTTGTAATGTCCGTTTTTCTTCATTTAAGTGTTACGTTTCTTTTCGTTGCTGATTATATCTAGCGTAGTGCTTCCTTGCCTGCCTCTGTCTCGTTCCTTGAGTGTGAGTCCGTCTCTGTCTGTGTGTGTCTGTCTGTGTCTGTTTGTTTCTCTTTGTGTCTCTCCGTCTCTTTGTTTTTCTCAGTGTTTGCTGTTTGTCTTTGTCGGTGTATCTGTTTATCTCCCAATCTCTGTTTGTCCCTGTCTATTTGTACTTATCTCGTTGTTTTTGCTGTTTGTGCCTTTCTATCTCCATTTGTGTGTGGGTATATGTGCTTGATTGTTCTTGTGTCTCTGTGTTTGTCTTTGTTTGTTTGTGTTTGTCTTGCGTGTCCATCTTGTGTTTATTTGCGTGGTGTGTTCGTGTGTATTTGTGTGCGTGTGTGTTGGTTTGTATGTTTGTATTTGTTTGTGTTTGTGTTCGTTTATATTTGTTTGTATGTATTGGTTTGTTTATATTTATTTTAATTATTTGTTTTATATATGTGTATGTGTTGTTTTTTATTTGTTGTTTGTGTTTTTTATTTATGAATTTTTGCTGAAAAGGGTTTTGTTCGTTTTAATTTAATGGCCTTATGATTCTATGGGGTTTATTGTATTGCCGTTCTCTTTTTTTATAATAAAAAATATAATATATTTCTATAATAAATAAATATTATAATAAAAAATAATTTGAGGAAAATATAATTTTAATGTTATAAAATAATTGATAATGAAATATTGAAAGATTATGTTTATTTATTATATTGATGTATTTTTATATATTGATATATATATATTTATAATTTAAGCCAGTATAAACCCCCTTTCCTTTATACCTCTCTTTCCTCCCCCTCTTGAGATATGTTGTAGTATTGTTATTGGAGTATTATAACATTGTTAAAGCATTTGGCGCTTAAAGGGTTCTTTACTGATTGACGGCGCGATACTGTAAGTTTTCCGTAAGGCTTCCGGAAGTTGCAGTTTCCGGAAGTTTCGGAAAAAGGGGGGGGGGGGGGACTAGCCTTATTTTAATCCTTATTTTAATCCTTATTTTAATCCTTATTTTAATCTCCCTCCCCCTTTTTCACGAAGCTTCCCTAAGGCTTTCGGAAGTTTCCGCAAGGCTTCCGGAAGCTTCCCTAAGACTTTCTGGAAGCTTCCCACCTATTTGGCCCAAAGCAGGGGGGGGGTAAAGGGGAGGGGGTTGTGGCTTCTTAAATAATGTATTTGAATAATACATAAATATTTATTTAAATTATGAATTTATTATTGATTTTAATAATATTATTGGAATTAATGAATTAGAAAATATATTTAATTTTTAAAAAAATATATAGTTATTTATTATTATTATTTGTTTATATAAAATTAAAAATTTGGCTAATTTAGAAGTAATAATGAATGATTATTATTGGTAATGGAAATATAGATTAATAAAATTACTAATTAGGTATTTAAATATATTTAATTTTGGATATTAATATAGATATTGTTTTATTGTGTTATTTGGCATAATTAATAATGATTATAAAGGTATATTTTAATGGGATGTTTTTTTTTTGAGGAGGGGTATTTAAAATATTACCACAAATCCAATTCTATAAATATAAATTTAATATAGTTTTTATAATATTTTATAAGTAATATAATAATCTATTAATAATTTAAATAATAATATATTAAATTTTATTATAATATTATAAAATAAATTTATAATTAAATTATTTTAATAAAATATTATTTAAAAATTTCTTATTATATTATATTATTCAAAATTTATATTATTTTAATTTATGTTTCGTAATTCTAATAAAAATATAAATATATAAAAAATATTTCCGGAAGCATAATTAACAATAAATAAATTACAAATATCGTAAATTGTAAATACAAAAATAATATATGAAATATATTCCTATAATATATCGAATCAAAAATAATAAATTTTCAAAATAAATATATATTTTAAAAAAAAATCAATTACAAAATCGATTTTTCTAAATCCAAAAATAAACACAAAATCTATTTCCAAATTATTATATATAATATCATACCTATCAATATCATATATTATTTCATATATAATAAAATTAATATATAAAATTTTATATAAACATATAACAACAAATATTATTTCAAGAAATACAACACCAATTTTATTCATCAACAATAATAACATTTACAACGAAACATTACTATAATTATAATTATAAATCATTCATCATCGTATTAAATTCACTATTATTTAGGTTAATAATTCCATGTTATTTTAAAATATATATATAATATATAATATTATTCATAATATTATATATAATATTATATATAATATTATATATAATATTATATATAATAATATTTCCTCATTTTTGTGATTCGTTACAATCTCTTTTGTTCATCCTTTCAGGCACTTACCAATCCATCAAAAACACGTTTCCACGACAAATCTCTATGGTACATGCTTATCGCCTCACCGCGGACGGTTGCGAATTCTGGAACAATTCCTCGCGAACACGGCCTCCACCCCGAACCACTTATTAACAGGAATCCTTTGCTACGCATGCGGGAAAAAACGCGTTTCGCGCGAGGCGTCCTAACGCCCGCGTGAACCCACATTTCGCAACAAGACTATTGCATCGAAGGCAACTTTTTGCGTACAGGGCCAACAGTTTGAGCGCGAATTCTCCTCTAACCCAGCTTTAGCTCTTGCCGTAAAACCCCTTGGTGTAAACACTATTTGGGGACAAACGTACCTTTGTTATTTAATATTTCCAATGTGTAATACATATAAACTAATTACAATATATAAGTTGGTCGGTCCTCCCCTGCCAAACCCTAAACGTAAAGTTCACCCGCCACTTTTCAGTACCCGGTTAGTGGGCCAGATTTGCGGCGTGCGTGTTACAACAGTCCTGCATTTAGGCTCAAATGTTCTTGCACCTGGCTGCTGTTTCCCCTACATCTGGATCACCCCAGGTCACAACAGCCCCGGATTCAAGAATGGGCAAAAGCGGCGGCAGTTGCTTGGATGTTTCTCAGCTGCTCTCGCACCCAGCTGCTGTCTTCACCAGAGTCTGGATCACTCCAAATCACTACAGCCCCAGATTCCAGAACGGCACCAAAAGCAGCTTCATTTGCTTGGACGTGCTGGTCGCTTTTCAGCTGCTCTTGCACCTGGCTGCTGTCTCCGCCTTCTCCTGGATCACCCCAGGTCACAACAGCCCCAGTTCCTTAACTGCTCTTGCACCTGGCTGCTGTTTCCGCCGAATTCTGGATCACCCCAAGTCACGACAGACCCAGAGTCAAGAATTGCAGCAAACGCCCTGTAAGTTGCTTGCATGTGCTGGACGTTTCTCGGCTGTTCTTGCACCTTGCTGCTGTCTCCACCATATTCTGGATGACCCCCGGTCACGACAGACCCAGAGTCAAGAATCAAACGCCTGGACAGTTGCTTGGATGTGATGGACGTTCCTCAGCTGCTCCTGCACCTGGCTGCTGTCTCCGCCGTATCCTGGATCATCCCAGGTCACAACTGCCCCAGATTCAAGAATGGCAGCAAAAGCACCGAAAGTTGATTGGATGTGCTGGACGTTCCTCAGCCGCTTTTGCACCTGGCTGCTTTCTCCGCCGAAATGGTCACACAGCCCCAAATTCAAGAATGGCAGCAAAAGCACCAACAGTTGCTTGGATGTGCTGGACGTTCCTCAGCTGCTCTTGCACCTGGCTGCCTCCCCAGAATGGATCATCCCAGGTCACAACTGCCCCAGATTCAAGAATGGCAGCAAAAGCACCGAAAGTTGATTGGATGTGCTGGACGTTCCTCAGCTGCTTCTGTACCTGGCTGCTATCTCCACCGAAATCCGGAGCACTCTGTGACCGTGGCTGTCAAATCGAGTTGCTGGCCTTTTGCAATGAGCTTCAAGCGACGCTTAAAATGCTGCTGCGCTGCAGCCTTCAGCTCGCTGATAGGCGTCGCCGGCGAGATTTCTATGGAACAACCACCTCCACTGGGTAAGTGAACATGCACCTTCATGGCACAGGAAGGCTCCTGTCCGTGTGAGGCACAGTAAACTGCAAATAGGCGGCCCTTGTGACTGGCTGATTGAGGGAATCCCAACCATTTGAGAGGGTTCACATCCTTGCGTACGGCCATGCCCAAAATGACCCGTCATGCTTCTTCAACCATCCCCTCAGTAAGGATGCTGCCAGGCATCTAGACAATTCTAATTCGCGAATTGGCAATGACAACGACAAGCACCAATCAGTTTGCAGCCGGACCTGCAGAATGAATGGCAGATTGTGGCTTTCCCAACCTGAAATGGAGAAGTGTCCTAGCAGTTGGGTTGCAGATCCTTTACCCGCCATTTCCCTTGGCACCAAAACAGAACGAACCATACCCACTTAGTACGCTTGAGCGAACCGTCCGAAAATTCCCTCGGTGGCTGTGGCTAGCCATAGTTTGGGTGTGCCACTTGAGGGTTATAGCCATAGCCCCAAAATTATGGGGTGATATCCCTGTTTGAAGGTCCAGGTTGTAAGGGGAAGAAGAAAAAAAACTAAACTATTCCCAGAAACGAAAAGAGGTAAGTCCAAGCAGCCCTGACTAGCGGCCAACGCCAAATATCCTTGCATTGGCTCCTTGCATCGATCCTCCTTGAAAGAGCGGTCGGTAACATATCCCAGACTTTGTCTCCGTTGAATAACCAAGCAACCAGAGTTAGGTCAATTGACACATATTGAAACCAACAGTGTCAAACCACCACCAACAAAACCATAAACCCTCAAGCTTGTAGATTCGAGAGAGAATTCTAACAGAAACCCAGTGCTTTGCGGTTGAAACTTAAATGTTCAACCGGCAACCTGCAAAGGCGGGGGCTGCAACACTACAGGTGCAGTTGGTGTTGAAATATAAGCACAGTTCCCTTGAAAGTGGTCCAGGGTCTGGTAGTGGAAACCAGTTGTGCAATCTGCCTGCTTCATGGACTTGTCATGCTACTTTGCCGCAATCTTCTTTCTACCCGGATTTCAGAGGGCAGTATCTGCTCGATCTTTGCGCGCCAGAGAGCAAGTCTTCTTGGCGCATTCCATTCATCCAGACAGTGGCTGGAAATGGAGAGCGGTTAGCACTTTCGAGATGTAGACTCGTGCGCAAGTCGCTCGCAAATGGGCCGAGGCCTCTGCAGCTAGAGAGTGTCTCAAGCACGCACTTTAAAAGCACATTCGCTACTGTCTAAGGCTTGCGCAAAGAGATAGAAAGGCAAAGGCTTGTCAAAAGGGAATATACAGGGTTCGAGTTTTGTACCTATCTGAGTAGCATAAATCATAGTGAAAGTTGAATATCCCCTGGTTCAACTGTTCAACCTTCGCGATTTCTGACAATTCTCAGAAATTAGGAGTGCTCGCACTCCAAACAACGAAGCTGCTCGGGTCTTGTGCCGCTTGCTGCAATCTGTAATGCGCTTAAATGCTTTGAGTCGCTTGTCCAGAAGCTTCCCAGGCATTGTACCCACCTTCCAGCACATAGGCATCTGCAAATTGAGCTCGCAAGGCTTCCCATGCCAGGGTGCTTTTGTTTCCCTGCCAACAGGTGAGAACAATCTTCTTGCCGGCCATCACTGGTGGCAATTGGTCCACCCAGTCATCCAGGGGAAGAACCCTGGCACCCCTAGGAATTCGTCCGTTTGTCTGGCTCTGTATCTGTTCACGCGTGCGAACGTCCACGAAGACAGCACCCTTCCTCACGGGCCAGTGATGAGCCGGCAAATCTAATTTTTCTCCAAACCCCTGGCCATCAAACATAGCTGGTTGGAAGATCTAGACGTGATCATGCATTTTCGCTGCAACAAAAACGATGCGATGCCAACCATGTAGGATAGGG